TTGGCGGCCCATGTTATAGTTCATTTCTTTATTGCGACAATCTGTGATTCTTTCAACGAATGCCAATCAATACATGCCATAAAAAAATATTATAAGGTGATAAAAAGCGAGGTAGCACAAGCTCGGTCTCGCACACAAATAAATTAACACAACACAAACACTGACTAGGAAGTTCAATGAGGGGAACGGAAAAGTCACACACAAATACAACCGAACGTTTCGACTCAATGAATATATGAAAGGAACTACAGCAAAAGAAGGGGAGGGGGCGGAGAAGAAGAAGATGCCAAGTGTACGAGAAAGTCACACAGGGAACAAAACATAACCTGTCTATAAGAAAGAATATAGTGTTAGAGATGCTACAGTGGTAACAGCGTTAAAGAAACTGGAAGAAGCAGTCGAGATATTTGTATCTTTTTATGAGACAAATGCTTTGGTGACAAATGACAAACTTGGTGGGTAAATAGCAGAGGAAGAGATGGGGAGGGCGGGAGGAAGTCAGAGTGTGATAATATACGCCAAAAATACCAAGAAATACAATTTCGGCTGTGGGGAGGGGGATGACTATACCACTCCCGAACGTCTCTTCTTTTCTCTCTCTCTCTCTCTCTCTATATATATATATATATATATATATATATATATATATATATATATATATATATATATATATATATATATATATATATATAGTCGGCTCTGTGGCTAAGTCGATGCAACGCTTCGTAATACCGGGTTCGATCCCAGCTGCGGGCCATGCGCCTTGCGTTGGTTCGACAGTGGTATCAAGAAAGCCGACCTGTAAAGGATACACACCTAACCGAAATATATATAAACTGTGTTTAAATTATATTTTCAAAAATTGCACAGTAGCATTTTGTGTATGCCCCTGGAGGTAGTCAGGCTCTAACTGGACAAAGTATTTAGTTTCCGGACAAGATAACGTATACGGGATACGAACACAATATCGGGGATACCCCCACCCCGTTTTTTTCCGGTACTAGGAAATGGGTTAAACAACGAGGCTTTGACAAAACTCAAAATGTCCAATTATATGCCAGTCTCTTTCCTATTCAGGGCAACCTGGTATTTATTTACCTCGACACAGAACAGAGGCCTATTTGTGCTATTTACCAGTACTGCTGGAAGTATGGGCCTGGCGCAAAAGACCCATAATTGAGACCTGTTCGCCACGGGAACCACAAATGGCATGGCCGCACAAATGTCAACTGTCCTGCATTCAACCCAACCTTGGCATCATTTCACGTGTGGGTGCTGGGCAAATCAGTTCACCCTGGCGACCTCAAGGTTAATTTGGGTGCTGAACTATAGGCGATACCGCAGCTTGCTGGGTTAATGTTCCAACTATTCCGATAACAAAATAATTTGTTAATCGCCGCAATCTACAATAACAACTCCCCCCCCCCCCTTTTTTTTTCCAGAATAGGTGGTTGATGTATCGTGGGAAAGGCTTCGTTTTTCTTCCACTTAATAATAATAAAAAAAAAAAAAAACGAATTTATGGTACTAAAAAACTAGTGCGCTCGACGAGTGTGGGAGGAAAAGGAGCAGTAATAATAGTTTTCATAAAAGTAGTACCAGTTGTCTATAGCCATGGAGACGGACTACCTAACCACTATTCCAAGGAACTCACCAGACACAACAAACACGTGGGAGCGATGCCCTGTATAAGACCTGTTATATTATCATAATGAATATCCCGTTGTTCTTTTCCACGTTGAATCTGCGGCCTCAATGGGTGGGGGAAGAGAAAGAACTGAAATAGGAAACAATCTGGCCCTTAATATGCATTTGGCTGAAATCAAATGTGTTGGTCTGAAAGATTTAGTAGGGATGCTAGTGAAGTTTTATTTACACTTATGAAACCATCACAGCTAGATAGAGATTAAAGTACCAAATTCAGCGACATCTTAATGAAGCCTGTAAGTCAATTCTAAGCGAAGTACCCAATTCAGCGACATCTTAATGAAGCCTGTAAGTCAATTCTAAGCGAAGTACCCAATTCAGCGACATCTTAATGAAGCCTGTAAGTCAATTCTAAGCGAAGTTCCCAATTCAGCGACATCTTAATGAAGCCTGTAAGTCAATTCTAAGCGAAGTACCCAATTCAGCGACATCTTAATGAAGCCTGTAAGTCAATTCTAAGCGAAGTTCCCAATTCAGCGACATCTTAATGAAGCCTGTAAGTCAATTCTAAGCGAAGTTCCCAATTCAGCGACATCTTAATGAAGCCTGTAAGTCAATTCTAAGCGAAGTTAATAACATTTTAGTGGCCGATACCACCCCAGACACATTATAGTAAAATCTGACAAAGATGAACTGGGGCTGCGTCCCAGTAAAATGTATGGTGGAAATAACTAAATGTTTGCATTATGTCAATAACTATCGTTTTTTAAACGAATCCCTTAGTAACTATACATTATTGCAATTGGAACAGCGAGGCCTAACTGTAACTGCATTTCTTAAATACGCATGGTGCAATATATAAAACATGCCAAATGCAGAAGTTAAAGCAGATGAGAACAATAACCGAATTAAACAGTAATATCAGCCACTGTAAACTGCAGTGCACAAGTTGACCTGGTGTAAAAGTCAACGGCCGGTTTTAAGCTGAAAATTCTGAGTGGCCTATACCTACCTAGCGCATTTAATACCCACTTTATAAGCCAACCATAGTTTTGAAATGATTTGTTAAGGTTTGAAAACGGAGTTTACCGTACACTTTATGGTAATCTACTTGTCAAGCGATCAGGTGTCAAGTTAAATGTCCTTACTGGTCACATGCCCTAACAAAATATGTGGTAGGTTAAAATAAAAATATATAAGGGGAAAAAAGGAAGAATCACTCAGATAAAAGAGCAACCGGCGAAAGGGTGACAATTCTGGGTTTTTAGGCAGTAGATCCAGGTTTGAATCCCATGTAAAGCAATGGATTTTTCCTGTCATGGCTAAAATGAAAGTTTTTAATCATGCAGAATTCAAGGCCACTGCACCAGCCATGCAGTCCTAAATCCTTATGCTCAGGAGTGTCCCTGTCACACACCACGCTCAAAAGTGGTAAATACTGACAGTAGAGACATGGGCAGTCACATTCTGTTGATGGCCAGGTCAGTATCATGGAGGAGGCTTGTTGATGTTATTTTCCCAACAGCGGTTCTTTACAGTTTTAATGAGTAAACTAAATGTAAGTAAAGGTCCCTTTAGGCGTATTGGGAATATAGGGCTAGACCTATATTTTTTTACAGACCAGTCGGCACTTGGCGGGTGATGTGGTCAGCATCACGCCAGCCACCTTTACTTTCTATGGCTACACCTGGTAGTCAAGGTAATTTTTTAGAAAAAAAGTATAGCTTTTATTAGGACACAAACCCACAACCTTCCGACCCGCAGGTGGGCATTAAGCCACCACGCCACTTCAACTTCCAATGAGTAAACTGCAAAATTAAAAAACACCAGAATGCTATTCACAGGAACCGAACTAGTCCTTTAGTAGATACCAGCCCACTGTGGTGTGGTATTCCTGGAAATGAAAAGGCAGACAAGCTTGTAAGGACTGCTGAAAACCTAGCAGCCTCAACCCATCAACCCCAGAGTTTTAAAGAGGCAAAGACACTTGAAGAAATCCATGAAGACAAAGCGGAGAAAAGAATAAGAACTACAGACCACAGCATGATAGTATAAACAGGCTGTGCAGAAATGTTCAAATTAAACTTTTCAGACTCAGAATGGGACATTGTAAGCCCATCTACATAGAATAGGTCTTCCTAACTCTACTTCATGTGGTTATGGTTCCCCAAAGCAAACTCCAGAGCATGTATTCCAGGACTGCCCAGACTTTGCAGGTCATAGAGAAGAAATCTGGCACACAGGAGTGCACCTACAAGATAAACTATGGAGCACCGGTGAAGACCTCAAACACACCATCTGTTTATGACCCAGACTGGAAAAGAAGCATAGCAAGCGATGATCGCTAAAGAAGAAATTGAGTAAATATTCTAGTCACACTGGACATAAAAAAAAAAAAAAAATCCTGAACTGACTAGCAAATTCCAATCATTTTCAAGAATAATTTAAAATTTTAAAGAATTGTAGTGTGCAAAATTTATATAAAAGTAACAGCATTATGTTAATACAATGAGCACTGCCTTTTTGTTTTGTTTACTTTGGTTAAAAAAAAAAAGAAATGAGATATTACACATCCTGTAAAAAGCACCCTTAAGTGTGTTTAGATATGCAAATTCACATAAGCAGCCCACCTGTGTCTGACCTAATATGCAAAACTGAAAGTCAGGGAGATGAAAAGTGAGTGCTGACACAGTGAGATATGGAGTAATGGCAGCAATTCAAACACTCAACAGCTCTCAACAATAAAAGCTTTATTTAATCTGCATTTCCCTTCCACAACCTTTTTTTTTTTTGTAGACTTGTTCAAAATAAATTTTGCAGTCTGTTTTCTACAAGACATGGTATCCATTCTAATGCCTATTCTGTCTATTACCTCACATTACACACTTTAGGTTCAAGTAGTGCAATTCTTTACAGCTGAAATAATTAGCAGAGATGTAAAATGACATTGTTTTATGCACTCTTGTTCTTGTTTCATCTTAAAAATGTGGAAGCACTGCAGCACACTATTAATGACTCTTCTAGCTGCATAATTTCAGGAATAATCAGCAGCTTTTAGCAGTTAATGAATTACAGAAGACATTGCTAATTTTGGTAGTTTACTGTGTTTCAATTCTTCACTACTCTTATCAACCCCAATGATGAAAAGAAGGAAAAACAGTAAAGAACTTTTTACATTAAGTAGATGCAATTAACAAAAAATAAAAACCCATTTAAAAAAAAAACCTAACTAAAGCTTTAAAAAAAAAAAAAGATTTAACCTCATGATCATTGAACACTCAGCTTGCAGGCAAGACCAGAGTGCAACCTCAGTATAGTATTTATCTATAATCAATACTGTAAAAAAATCTTACCTTCTCGTCTTTATTTCTTCGTGTGTATTTCCTTTGTGGAGTAGCGTTGATAGTGCCAGTTGAGGTCACAATGAGATTCACATTTTTCATGCCTTTCATATCCTGCATTATTCGACCATGCTTTGATTTTGGTTCCCAGTCATCGGAATATTCCGAGGAATAGTCCAGGCTGTCTTGGGAAACATCTGCACTGTGACCTGGGTCTACAACAGGTGGCACAAAACCACTCTGAGTGACCGGATCCCTGGCACCATTTTGCTGACTAGACTGGAGTTCCATGAAAGACTGCTCTATTGTAGCAAGAGTTGTTGGGGTCAGGGTCGGTGTCAGTCCTGAGCCGGAGCTCACAAGAAAGTTAGGCACATACTGTGGATAAAGGAAAGATATAACAGTTTAGTGAAAAGTAAATATTGATAAAGGAAACATACTCAACATTTAATGAAATATAATTATAGAGGTAAGATACTTTAAGTTTAGTGAAACATAAATACTGATAAAGGGAAGCATTTGGTAGAATCACAATTCAAATTAGAGTATTGAGTATGTATGCATGTGAGCAAGAAGAAAGAAAGAATACATCCAAGTTTATATACAATTAATCCACTTGTTCTACACAAACATAAAGTCACCACAACATATTCTTTGGTACTTTATTTTTATATGACCACATTTCACCTGCTTCTAAATTTTATAAGAAATTCCTTGGGATCCCAAGAGGTTTCCCTGGACAGTACCATATTACAGGGGAGTTAGGGTTGGGCCTAGTGTTAAATGAATAGCGATCACTACTAAGCCTAACCCTAATGCCCCTATATATGGAATGTTCCATGTTTTTTTTAATTCTAGAAAATCAGACTAGAAATACACTTTGTGTGTAATTTTTTTTTTAAAGCCATGCAGCCCAGAATAATGAAAAAGTTGTAATTTTTTTAAGTTCAAAATGTTTATGATAAAACTTTTAAGTTTAAAAAAGTGGGCATATAGCATATACTCAAGTATAATATAACTAATGACGAAGTTCAAAAATGAAACAAATCCCCACTGGTGATGAGTAGTTTAAATGCTGCAACTGCTGAGTGTTCTGCTGAAAGTGCTGAAATGATGGTCCTCTTTGCTGCTGTTGCTGAGATGGATGACACTGACCAGGGCGAGTGGGAAACCCTATGTGGTTGACATTTCTTAATGGGTCAGACTGATGTAAGCGTGGTTGTTGATGAGGATGATGCTGAAGCTGTTGCTGGTAGATGGTTCCTTGGTAAGGCTGTCTGTAGTATTCCTGATAAACACTGTATTGTTGGTGGTAATCCATAGTCATTGTTCCTCCTGAGCGTTTTATCAAAATATGGTTTTCTGGAGTGTTAAAACTTTTGTCACATGCATGGCACTGCAACTATAAGTGCTGAAAGGGGCGGTGAATGTATCCATGCCAAAGTATGTAAAGTCCAGTGCAAAGCTAGCTGCTTGTATAACAACCACTTGCTCCAAGAGGAGTTGAAAAACCAAGTCATTCAAACTGAAGTGATTAAATATGCTCCCATATTAACTTCCTCTTTTGCATAATCAATAACTGGGCGGAGGGCCACTCCTTCTGAGGAACTATGTGCCACTTAAGATCACTCTCCAAACTTTTCACATGTTTATTACAAACTTTCCATTCTCTAGACAAGTGGTATGTTTTGCTCAAACAATAAACACTAGTGGTTTCTTTTGCTAAGTCTTTCTAACATAATGACTGGTTCCTGTTAAGTATATTATTATATTGTTTTTGCTGCCACCGCCCACCACCTCCATCCTTAAAATAATTATCCACTTCCTAGGGTTGCTCTATCCTTCCCCCCTACCCCAAATTTAAGGTCATCAGCAGCCAATGGGATCCAGACCTGTTATTAAGGCCGACGGGTTTAGGAGGGAGGCACAGTTCGCCAGGACGGGTTGACAAATGTTGTCCTGTGTGCCTAGATTTGCAAAGTGCATGGCTCTCTCTGCATGCATTTTTATAATGCATATTTGCCCGATTACGTAATCTATGAATAACCAAGATGATACATTGGGAAAAGCCAGGGGGCCAAGGTTGGGACGTGAAGTGCATCCTTGAAGGGGTGATGGTTCATTCAAAGCGTCATCTTTGACACGGTATCTTTAGGAAACTATACGGAACTATTGATGGCTGAACCCAACAAGATATCGCCCCGCAGCCTTTGCAACTCATTTTGATGATTTTGGGGACATTAGTGAAGATCAAATTTGGTAATGTTAAAACAGATAACGTAGTGTAATTAAAACACACAACAGAAAAGCCTACTGTTGACACACAACAGTTTAAAATCAGCAGACAACTGTACAATAAATTTAAACACATTAACATTTCATCAAAAGTCACTTACTGAAGAAGAATTTTCCACTCCACCATTGGCCATGGAAGATAAAATGTCTGCCACGTACTTGGTCGACTCATAACTGCTGGTCGCTGTTGTCGTTTCAGACTGCGATGTGTACATCCTGAAGTCAAACAACACCAGTTCTAAACTCACAGAAATCCTCACTATTTAAAAGTTAGTCGACGGCTGAGGTAAGGACTAATTTCTCTTAGAAATCAGCGAGGATGGGAGATTCGACAGTGAGTCACTATTATTTCGCTGGAAGCCGGAAAACCCGCAGACGTTTTCAGCCAGCGCCTTGAGTCACTGTTAGTCACCGGCTATCTTTAGCAGCATTACATCACCTCCGAGTGTGTCACGTGATCCAGTCTCCTCTTCGTTTGGAGAAACTAGCTTTGTACGTCAGCAACTCGCCCCAGTTTCTTGGATTCTCTCCAAAATAGAAATTAGGTGTTTTCTTTTTCATTTTATGTATAATTAAAATGGTTTTCAGCTAAAATATTTTCATCGTCTTCTAATTTATTTTATTAAATCGCGTATGGAAGAATATAAATTTATCGTACGGCATTTCCCTATAAGATTATATTTTAGTATACAGTAATTATTACTTTTAGTAATTTCCCCTTGGTCTCTGCGTCGGACGCCCGTGTGAATTGTTGCGCACGTAAAAAATCCCGTGGCAGCTAGAAATAAAAAAAAAGAGTAGTCTAACGGCGCTGTCTGGACAAAATTTAGTTAAAAATCTATCCAAAGTATTTCAGGATCCTCGCCGGTGCTACGGATTTCGTTCAATGAGCTGAGATTCTTTGGAGTCAGACTCCAGTTAGAAGTAGAACGGAGCACTTATGGGTTACTACTTGTGTCATGATGTTGGTCCGTCGTCTAAACCTAAAGTATTTCAGGATCATCGCCGGTGCTACGGAGGAGTCAGAATCGAATTAGGAGTAGAACGGAGCACTTATGGGTTACTACTTGTCATGATGTTGGTCCGTCGTCTAAACCTAAATATATATATATATATATATATATATATATATATATATATATATATATATATATATATAAGGCCTAAACACACACAGCAGGGGTCTCCAACCTCTAGAAGCGTTCACAAGGGCGTCAAACAATTTTGAAAGTGATCGCATTTGCGCTTATAATAATCCGTTAGGCTGACCTGAAAACGGTTAGAGACCACTGGCATACAGTGTTGAATCCTTGAGGCAGAAAACAACAGAGCGGGACACACACGTAACCTTCAGGAAAGTCGACCAGCCCAACAAACTTGTGAATGAAAAGTGAACTACTCTATTTGGGGAGACTAATGTCGAACTAACCGTTCCGGGTACCTATTTTGGGGACAAAAGACCCCCCCCCCCTTCCTCCCCCCACCCCCCAAGGATATCGTAATAAGCAACTAATGAGGGTTTGCTGAAATCGGATGTGTTGGTCCGAAAAGAGCGGCTATCGCTGCTTAGCTGTGAACTTAAAAAACTGTATCAACCACCCATTTATGAGCGAATGCAGCAGGAGAAACAAATCTCCGCCACTATGTCTGTTATAGTATGTACTGTATAGTATTGATATACATGTAATTTATAATTTATCAATGGAAGGGTGCGACTCGAGTTATGAGTAGTTATTTTTTTTTTAACAATTTTGTTTACAACGAGTGTTATTTCCAACCACCAAATGTTTAATAATTCTAATACATAATATTAGTATACACATAACATGTTTGGTAAAAAGCGCTGCCAGATTTGAGGGGGGGGGGGAGCGGGAAACGAGTGTTAACTTTAAATTGAAACCATTTAAGGCTCTAATGAGGTTACATAACCAATATTACTTCGATTTTCTTGTTATAACCACAAAGCTAGTTTGTAAATTTACTTTGTAAACTTTAAATCAGTCAATTGTAATTTGTGAGCTTTGTGAACGTTTATAACAGCACAAGCACAAACTAGGCATCACCTTAAGTTTACATCTTGTTTATAAAATTTTTGTTTGCGTACGTTTGGAAGAGGCTGGCTCAGCATACCAGTTGTCGCGAATAAAACGCAGTTTGTTTGAGGCTCTGTTTGGGTGTTCGCCCTACCTTTTCAAAAAAAAATCCTTGTTTAAAGTGTCATAACTTCCCTTATTGAAAGTAAACAATATTTTAGGTCTTTAGTTTGTCCATTACTGTAGAGAAAATATGTCTTGTTGCATAAAGCCAGTCTCAGCGCACGACTGATGTCTCATGGCTGTACCTCATGGGGAAAACCAAGTATTTGTAAGCTGTGATATCATGTACTCTCATTCCTTGCGCATTTCTGTTATTCAAGGCCAATAACGGATGTTACTGGGATACAAACACACACACACACACACACAAACACACACACGCGCACACACAACACACACAGATAAACGCTCACGCGCGCACCTGCACACGTACACGAACGCACGTACTCACTCACTCGCACACGCGCGCGCGCACACACCACACACACAAGTTGAGCTGAATTAAGAATTTACACAGCACTCGGGGCACTCCCATATGCGCTCCGTCCCCATCCTCAGCAGCCAGCGCAGAGTTTCAATACTCATGGTGCTAGCCGTAATCTGGTTGTATGTCCGTCTTGCCATTCCTCTGAGCGTAGTGTGCCGCTTGAAACCTCTGGTCACACCCAGGTGCATCATTCTCTCCAGCTCATAATACACTCGTTTCTCTTCTGATTTCGTTACTTGTTCCCAAAGGGCTTTTACCACATCTGCCTTGTCATGTATCAATTCTTCACCCAGCGGTTCAGATACAGCCAATCTGCCTGTTTCCTTCCCCACCACGCCGTTATAGCCTGGAGAAAAGATCCAAAGTATACTCACTACCCGTTACCTTGCAATTAAAGGTCGCCACTGCTCGAAGCAATCCTGTCTTCCCTTTGTTCAGTCTGCTTTCAGAATCGTTACAGTTACGACACGCATCTTGTTCTCTAGCTAACGACAAGCTGCAGTGACAGCCTCCACCTCCATTCTTATGCTAGATGTTGTGGTATCCTATGCCAGGCTGTTCTGCACTAAAGATTTTTCACTGGCTTTCTCTACGAAACCCCAGGCACTTCTCTTCCCTCTCAATACAGAACCGTCTGTGTAGATAATCGGATCAATAGGACAAGAATTGCCGTGAATCAATTGTTGGACTTCCACCTCAGTAGCCCCTGCTGGCCACTCTCTGCAATCTTGGCCTAATGTGATTATGACCCTACATGGGTCAGACTTTTTCTCTGGTACTGTGACCGACTCCTTTTTTAGCCTAATGTTCTTCAGCTTGCATACTGGTCTTATTGTGTCTTCTGCTTGAGCCATCCATGATTTTCCCTTTTCAGTCTCTGACGCTTAACTGCATCCAAAGCATCATGCAGAGGGTGCTCTTTATCTTCACCTACTCTGAGGTATGACTTAACCTGCAGTACATTTAGCCCATCTGCAGCAGCCAACAATGCAAGGATGTATCGCGTGCACACAATCGGTGTGTCTCTTGTACATCCCAGGACCATCCGCATAGCCTCATTCTGTATGCGATAGCTGCAGTAAAGCGATTACAAAAAGTGTGACAAACATCCCTAAGCACGCAGGAGAAATTGAAGTACGCGGAAAAATATAAGAAAGATAGGATAAAGGTTTTCAAGCGTTGTGTAGCAGAGGCCAAAAAAGCCCAATAAGAAAATTTTATTAATGAAATGGGAGCGATGAGACTTTGGGAAAGCTTTGGAAGCTTCATAGACAGATGCTCAAGAAAGATCGGCCCAGTTTAGTGGGAACAATTCATAGAAACAATGGCTTGCCATTGACCTCCTTAATCAGGTGATCTCGCCCTGTGCATGTAACCAAGCAATCAAGGTGCGAGGGATATTCCAAAATCAGCCTCTTATTGGCTTGGCGAAAAAAGGGGTGGGGCGGG